CCAAAAGGTTTTAACTACAACAGATGATCATAACTGAACAATTGTGGCTTACTGTACACATTTGGGGTGGCTGGTCCCTCCTGTCTTCAGGAGAGAGCATTTCTGGTCAGCCCAGGACAAAGCTTCACTGATGGAACAGACATGCCATCCTGGAATCAACTAGCAAGGAGACTTTGTTGAAAGCCTAGGTGTCACCTTATCTTAAATCAACTCTGGTAGAGGTACTTGTGTTAGATAGATCTGACATAAAGGCATGCCTCTGCTAGCTGTTCCTTTTTATACCAGTCTCAGCAAAATCAGAACAGTGTGTTGGCAAGCCACTCTATGGTCTCCCACAATACTGAAGTCTTCCAAACTAACCCAGTGGTGTCAACAAATCTATATATAGTAAGTTAGCAGAACAAAATTGATAGAGGTTCAGCAACATGTCCTGTAACTGTGATTATATTGTGAATTAAACCACTTATTTCCCCCACCCCCTAAGCAATGCCTTGCTCTATTTCCTTATGAACTGTGTGGTTTTGGATCCTCTCTTTGTGCTAATGATAGCTCCATCTGGTTGTTACTGTGCCCATTTTGTGGAAGGTACTTAGTAGTCCATTTGCAAGACACTGAGGTGGAAGACCAATTATCTAGACCCATTCTAGATCCATTCGAGTTTCAGGAGGGAATGGGCCTTGGTTGCCCTAATGGATGACCCAGAAGAGGGACAGGGTCTGTGTGACCTTGTTGCTCTTGCTTGATGTCTCAGCGGTTTGTGATACCATTAACCATGGTATCGTCCTAGACCACCTCAGTTACGCTGTGAGGTGTGAGTCATGCTTTGAGGTTATTTTTAAAAAATGAAAGGTTGTATAAAAATGATTTAAAATAAATAATCTATATACAAGACCAGATTCCATATTTTTAAAGTTTTATTATTTTTAAAGACTGTTTTTATGTTTGTTTGTTTTTGCATTTTGTGACCTGCCATTTTATGATGAAAGGCTGGATACAAATCGTACAAATGAAACAGTAAATTAGATAGCAAATTCCACTATGTAATACTGTAGTTTTGTTTTTATTTGTGCTAGCTTTTAAATCACAGCAAGTCTTTGACACTGTAAAAAGGCCACTGCTGTTCTCTGGCCAGACTGTGTCGCTGCTGCTGCAGCAGAAGATGCAAATGGTGACTCTCTCATCATCCCTTGTATGTGAATAGATGATCACAAATCAAAGAAGACATGTGTGCATGAATAGTTTTCAGATGCTTTCTGTTCACTTACCATAAGGGCATATGCTCTCTGTCTGTCTCAGTCAAGCAGCGAGAGAAATGTGTGTCGGATCTAAATTATGGAAATTGATGTGCAAGCTCTTGAGTAGAGCACCTACATCTAAAAAGCCACTAGGTGGCACTCGGGCATAAAATATCCAGAGTCCCATGCTTGAACCGCTTCTCAGAATGAAGACATTACTTTCAAAACTACAAAGACATAGCTTATGAACATGCTTTTATTTTTTCAGCTTGCATGGGCTGAGCAATCATGTGGAACAATGCACATTACCTGTCTCAAAAATGCACTATAATCATAAAAGTCTTTTGCAGTGCCGTTCACGTGGTGGGAGTTAGTCTCTTGTTCTTGTTGTTGCTCTGTCAGTTGATTGCTATTTACGCTACTTCTGTGCAAGATACTGCTACCTCACATTACAAATAAGAAAGCACTACCATAGCTGATGGAAAGATGGAGGGCACAAGGAGAAGGGGGCGGCAGAGGACGAGATGGTTGGATAGTGTTTTCGAGGTTACCAGCATGAGTTTGACCAAACTGCGGGAGGTAGTGGAGGACAGAGGTGCCTGGCGTGCTCTGGTCCATGGGGTCACGAAGAGTCGGAAACGACTAAACGACTAAACAACAACACCATAGCTGATCACATAAAAGTACACAGTCTTTAACCACTTTGTTGTGCTCCAGAGGCTCTGATGGATCCTTGTGGATGTCGGAGCTCTGTTCATGAAGGCAGAGGTGGTCCATTCCATTTCACCACTGGAGGCAAAACAGGAAGGTTCTGTGCTATGCTGCCCCCCGCCCCAAGCCTCACTTCCTGGGGTCACACAGCAACGGCTTCTGGAGAGATCTCGTGAGATCTCGCTGGAAGTTGCAGCAGTAGTTGCACAACTCCACCTGTCATGGGTGGAGCACCTGCGGGGGCACTTCTGCGCAGGATATCACCACCCAAGGCAGGCTGTTTCACTCCGCCTCATGGGCGAGCAGGTAGTACATGCAGAGACCACCCACTTCTCTCTCATGAGCCGTGGAAGTCCAGGATTCCATGCTGTTCACAAAATGGGTTCTGTAACTTTGAAAAGAACAAGAAAGCTACTATATCTACATAGCTGAGTGCTGTGTGTGTGTGTCACTCAAGACTTGCTACATGGAATGGAATGAAAGAGGAGGAAGATCAGTTTGAGAATTCCAGAATTTTTAACAAGCGTATCCTTCCAACTGAGCAGGGGATGATCCTCCATTGCCAATGATCTTCTCCCCTCCCAGCATATATCACCCTTTACATTTATTTATTTTTTAAAAATACATTTATTTATTTATGTCCCGACCTTCCTTCCAAAAGAGCCCAAGGCAGCAAACACATCAGTACTGGAACAGTACTGGAATATTAAAAATATCCTGAAAACTAATAAAACCATTATCTCAACCAGAGATCTCAAGGTTGCCGGGAATAGTTCCTTTCAGCCATCAAATGCCTGGCTAAACAGGAATGTTTTCAAATTGCTGCTGAAAGTCAATACAGTAATGAGGGAGGCAGACACACCTCACTAGGTGGCTGTTCCACAAACAGGGAGCTACCACTGAAAAGACCTTGTCACAGTTCAATGCCAGCTGGGCAGCCCTCAGTGATGATGATACCGCTGATTGTAGCATCTGAGATGGTTGATACAGTATTGCACAAATATATACTTCATATTTGCAACATGGAGCTCCTAGTCACATGGAAGCAGTTGTTTTTTATTTTTTTCAGGCCTTGCTCTACCCTCAGATATGTGCATACATGCTCCAGTGTGCTTTTATGTGCCTATTTAAAGCATTTTTACTCCCAGAGTAGCTTTCAAATAGAAATGCAGTCCTGTCTTCATGTAGTTACTGTTGTGAAAAAAGTTCCATAAATTGGGTGAAAACCTGCTCTCGTATATGTGACTATATTATATAGCATATGAAGCAGTGTGTTGGTCCTAAGTCTGACATACTGATACTAAAACCATTTTGTTTTTAAGTAATCAGCTGTGACCTGGAAAACAACTTGTGTGTGTTATGAATGAAAGACATCCATCTTTGGTAAATATTTTCTTTTCCTGCAATCACAGCAAATTTAACACCTCTTCATTTTGATCAGTTTAATGGCAAATCAGTTGTATAGGGTACAAGAGGAATTTTTTGCAATCAGTGTTCTGAAACAATCTGTGGGGAAAAGACAAACATCATTGTTGATTTATACAGCATCTGTTTAACCATCCTGATAAAATGCTTTCCCCAAGCTTGGCAGTACCATTATAACCCAGTTTTAAACTGGTTTCATTGTCATGGCTCCCTTAAAACCAACCAAAGTAAGACTCATCAGCTTTCCAGAAGATCAAAGAATCATTTATACTAATAGCAAACCTTCTCCGAGAGCTGATATCTATTTAACCAAAACTGCTATATCCATGCACAAGAGTGAGGTATCAGTAGACTCAGGGGAACCCCAAGGTTTGCAGAAGTCCAGAAAAAGGGAGGGGAGACACACACCCCTTAAAAAAATAGCCCAAAGAAGACTGAACATGCTCAGTGATCTATGTGTATGTCATTATGCTTGTATTTTTGTATTTCTGGCTTTGCATTTTTTCTGTTTTGGTATTATTTGCTTGTTTTATTTAGTGTTTGTATGATGCATAAGTATAAATAAAGTAAAAAAAAAAGCATGCTCAATGATCACAAAATGCTGACTGGCTGTTGTGTGGGGCGTATGTTAGGATATGGGAAACGGAGGGCAGGGGAGAAGGAAAGGGAATACAGTATCTTGGAAAAGGTGATGGCCCTGAACTGAAAACGCTACATTTTGTCACTTGTCCCTCTTGTTCTTTATAATTGAGACTGCTAATCTGTTCCCAGGATACCATACAAGAAGGCAGGGTCACTGCTATTTAACCAGATTGTGTGTAGGGTAGACATGCTTTCACAGAGAATTTATGATGCTTTTTACTGTCCTTCTCCAAAATCTGTTCTTGTCTCCTTGTCAGACTTTTGAGAGATCTCACCAAGAACTCTGTAATAGATTCTTCTTCACCAGGAAATTTATATTTTTGGTCTTTTTAGTGCTTTTTTGACTACATTCTTCTCGGCAATCTTCACGGAGCTCTGGCCCAATGGTTGCCAGTGGCTTGAATTAATTAATTTTATAATGAATGATTTTAGAGTGTTGTTTATGCTGTACTTTGTACTGTTTTATTGTTGTGAGCCCGGCTTCGGCTGGGGAGGGCGGGATATAAATAAAATTATTATAATATATTATTATATTATTATTATTATTATTATTACATTGTGCCTAATTTCCATGTGTTACAATTGGAGACCATTTCAAATAAATTCTTATGTACTATTACTTCAGTGTCATTGTTATAATAATCTGTTATATTGATTGCCTCTTGTACTATTCACAGATTCCATGGGCTTTGTCTTTGGTTTATAAACTATAGAAGGCAGTCATCACGTTTTCCTTTTACCATATTTCATTTATGTACTTCATGAGTAGGAACATTGTCAATTATCAGCTTGAGTTTATTTTGGCAGCTCTACATGAGAGAACTGCAGCTGGTTTGATGTTGGGGTAGTGGAGTCTTCAGTATGGTGTTCCTTTTAATCTGTTTGGCAGCTGCACATTATGTAGAAAATTTTAGTTCTAGATATGGAAGGATTATGGCCTCCTTTCTGATGAGTTTGAGTGATATAATCTCTCTGCTCTGCTGATAGGTAATTGGAAAAGATGATGTGGCTGTACCCTCGCATCTTTACAAAGTGATTCTGGCCCGGAGAAGTGAAACATCCACAGATCCTTTGGTACTTGGGGCCTTCGTGGTACCCAATGACGCTATTGGCTTTGACCACCAGCTGCCGGAATTCCAAGTTAGTATTGAAGACCTGGAGAGAATGTCAGGCCTTGTTTTCTTCCCACAGGTGAATAAAACTAAAGACGTTAGAAATATCTGTGAGGTTGATACTTGCAAGCTGATGAGTTTGGAAGAGTTCACTCTGTACATCACCACTCGGAAGTTGCAGAGTGCAAGGACACTGGAAAGGCTGAGAAAGATCATGTCTGAATTACAGGAAAAGGGAATTGAGCCCGATGAATATCTCTTAAAGGTTTATAAAAAGAAGGAGGAGGAATTAGCAATGCAAAAGTCAGTGGAAGCTAGAGAAGGGAGATCTGGTTAATATAAAGAACTATTGTACAGAGACTCTGCTACTACTAAGAAGAAAACTTGGACAAGCCTCCCCATTTGTTGTGTGCCTATGCTGAAAGTGCAGCACTTTGCTGAGAAATTAAAACACCTCCTGTGGCACAGGTTGGCAGTGAGACTTAAGGTCACTCGTTTGTGCCCTTTACTAAAGCCATCATCAGTTTTATTCAGAATCTCTTCTGGAATACAAGAAAAACAGAAAATGGTCACCTTGGGAATATAAGTAGACCTCTCTTAGATGTAACTTTCCTTTTCTAACAGGATGCTGTAGAAATGGTGTTATGTTATTTATATAATTCTTTGCCAGCTGTATTTTTTTTAGCCTTTTCTTTGTTTTCATTCATCTAAATCTCTAGAAATGCCTCTTGAGAACAAATTCATTTGTAAGTGACTATTTGTATAGTCACTGACGATTCAAGAACCAGGCGACGGGGGCCAGTTCCCAAGCAAGTTTTTAATAAATGTTTCCCCAAGATTTTGAGTCTTGCTTTTATTCTACACACTGCAGGGGAAGGACTTCTTAGAGAAAAATGTTATGTGTTTTACTTCAACCAGCATCTCTGGTTCTTTTGACAGCTAAGATCGCAGTCTAAATGCTCGCAAGAACTTTATAGAGGAAACAGCCAGTTCCTACTGACAGGGTCCTCCTCCTTGATTCCTGTAACAAGGAAGATTGAATTCTGGGCAGTGACCTTTGCCACCAATGGCTGCTTGTGTTTCTCTGCTTGTGTTTGGACACAGCCTGCTATAATTTCAGGTTGCCAGTAAGAGAAGCTTTGCTACATTGCTAGGTTTGCCCCTGTCTGTGATAGGGCTAGAGTGCAAGTAGCCTCGCTGTTGCCCTTGCTAACAAATGACACCATAATGGAATAAAAAATGGTAAGCTGCCAACACAGTGGGATCCTTATTTTTTAAACAATATGACTGATCAGATAATTTTGGCTATCAGCTGATGATATGTGGTCAATTGACTGGCATGCCAGTACTATTTAGTAGTATAACCCAGTTACAAATCCTACATTTCATGCCTACATTTTCCTTCTTTGTATAAATTTCCCACTCTTGTCTGGTATATGAGGAGAAAGGGCCCAGATTTAACAAAGGAACCACAATCTAATCTAGCTAAAATTGTACAATAAGTGGCACTTAGTGTTTTTCCATGTTAAATATATGGATAAACTTTACAGAAGGAGGATGCTAATTGTTATCGCCATTCCATAAAAAACTTGACAAGAGAATTAAAAAAGGATTTGTCTAAGCTAGAACTTCAAATTAGGAGGAGTAAGGGTCATACATGGTATTGTTTCATGACCACTTAAATTTCCTTCCTTAAAATACAATTCATCCATCTCATCCTGATATATAAGGAGGCAAGCTGGACTGTTCAAACATGGAACACTTCATTAAAGTCAACAAATGTTGCTGGGGCTGCCTTACCTTGATATTAAAAAATTCACAAACTTCAATGACTTGAAGTCACAGAAAGAACACTTCCTTGTATCGTTCTTAATAATACTGCCTAACAATAATAACACAGGTTGCTCTCAGATGATAAAGGACTTGGGTTTCCTCCAGAAAGAGCAAAGGAGCAACACAATCTCCAGCAAACAAGCATAGGAAATTATGGAACTGCTTTTTATTAGAACACAGACAGCTTACATTTTTATTCTCAAAGTGAAAGTGAGTGTAGTCAACGTGGGCATTGCACTATACTCACAGCAGCACATGCAATGTGGACAGGCATGCGGCACACACACAGGAAAACCTACAGCTTCCCCTCTGCACTTCCGTCAATCAGTGGGTGGGATGGGATGGGATTTTCCTCCCCATCATAGCACTGGGCTGGGAAGAGAGGAACCTGCAGTGAGAAAGAAGATATCGTGTGGAGGTGCTTCTCCCCTTGCACTCCCTTGTTACTCATATTCACATTCAGAAGAATGGAGATAGAAGACTTCATGCCTGAAGGCGCACTCTCTCCTCTCTCTCTCAAAGTTCCCTGACATTGAAAACTAAAAACCTCTGTGACATGCTAGTTTTCCATAGGCATGAAATTTTGTAATGGGGGAAACAGCCAGTTCTAGTAATTAGATGAGAGTTGAAACATGATTTTCCATATTTATCCTGCCATTGTTTCTTCATAATCACAAGGCTGATCTTCTGGAGTCTTAAGCTTCCAACAGGGCGGGGCACCTTAAATCCCTTTTGCAGCTGATATTAACGTTAAACCAAAATGCTCTTGGTTACAGAAAACCCAGATGAAGCAAATAAATGTAGTTTTCTGAAAAGAAAAGACTTGTGGAGCTACAGAGAGGAAAAGAGGTCTTCTGCAAAGGTGCCACAGAAATGCCTGCCAGATTATAATTATGGTGGCTCTGTATTTGGCATCTTTTCATTGCATTTTAAAAACAAGGACACTATCTTAGGCCCAGTGAATAGTCTGGTAGTACCTGATGACAGCAGCATAGTTGAAGCTAAGCAGGTATGGATGTGATCAGTCCCTTGGATGGGAAACCACTGGAATCTCTGTATAAGAGCAAGCAATAAAAATAAACATGGGGGTGTGGGAGGAACACCCCGACACGTCAGATAATTCCAGCTTTTTGATAAGTGTACAAAAAGGCAGTACATCTTTGTCAAGGCACCCATTCAGGGTCTGCATGTTTCATTAATGGTAAAGGTAAAGGGACCCCTGACCATTAGGTCCAGTCGTGGCCGACTGGGGTTGTGGCGCTCATCTCGCTTTATTGGCCGATGGAGCTGGCGTACAGCTTCCGGGTCATGTGGCCAGCATGACTAAGCTGCTTCTGGCAAACCAGAGCAGTGCACGGAAACGCCGTTTATGTTCCCGCCAGAGTGGTACCTATTTATCTACTTGAACTTTGATGTGCTTTCGAACTGCTAGGTTAGCAGGAGCAGGGACTGAGCAACGGGAGCTCACGCCGTCACGGGGATTTGAACTGCCGACCTTCTGATCAGCAAGTCCTAGGTTCTGTGGTTTAACCCACAGCGCCACCCGCGTCCCTATATGGCATCCAGGTACATGTGTGTTTATCTCAGATCACGATTGCCTAGCATGCATTTTTCAGACCTTGAGTTCTGCAAACAAGGCAGATTAGGCTTTGCTCATCAAGGGGTCTCTCTAGGCTGCTGTCAGCGAAACCCACAAGCCACTTGGAACAAATCAGACCTCGTGAAGACCTTGAATCCAAAGCGGCTGTGCAATTTGAACTGCTAGGTGGGCAGGAGCAGGGACCAAGTAACGGGAGCTCACCCCGTCGCGGAGATTCGAACCACCGACCTTCTGATCGGCAAGCCCTAGGCTCTGGTTTAACCCACCACACCATCCGCGTCCCTTTCATTAATGGTACTAAAGTGCAATTTCATAAGCTGCAAAAATCAGAAGACAAGCCTTGCCATTTTGTTTCTACATTTGTCAGAAGTTTCTGCTGGCAACCTTCAACAATTGCAACGAAACATGTCTCTCCTGCACCGGTCTCTATAGCCACAGCAGGCGCTGTAACTCTCCAACAGTTTGACTTCACCACCGAAGGCGCACTCTTCCATTGTCTCCCGAGACGGATGGATGCCAACCAGACGTTACCCCAGCACCACTGGTACTCAGTGTTCCTGAAGCATCCTTTGATCCGCATGAGAGCAGCAGAAGAAAGTGAAAGCCTAAAACGATTGAGAGCACTTACAAGAGTACATTTACACAGCCAGTATGTGATAGCGTGAGGAAATGTGCCCCCCTTGCTCCTGTGAATAGCTTCTCCCCTGCACTGTGCCTTGTTTACCACTTGGTTTGTGCCACATTCTCCCGTTGCCCTCGCATGAATTTCACAGAGCAGCTGAGCGGTGCAGAGTTATACAAATGCCTCCTGGTTTCTTAGTCACCGCATCTCCACAAAAACATAATGGAACGTCAACTGCGTGAAAGTAATGCCACTGTCTCACGCAGCAAAATATTTTGATGCCAAGCTCCAGTTCCCCAGCTGATGAGAAATGCCTTCTGAAAGATAGCAACTGTTTTGTTTGTTTTTAAATTTGCTGTGGTCATTGATGGGAAGTGTTGGGGTTTGGGGGAGAATTGTGAAGGGTGTGGAGAAGAGTTGGCACTGCATCGTCATTCTGGGAGGCAGTTCTGGGCATCAGGGGCATCAAGGAGACTGGGTGGAGACAGTGAAGAGATCAGGAATCAGGTAGCTGAGGGCATTTATTTATCAAAGTATTCATATCCTGCCTTTACATGTGAAAGAAAATGCTCAGGGCAGCTGAGAATATGACATTGAGGCTGCAATCCTTTGCCCAATTAACCTGAAAGTGAGCCTCATTGAACTCAATGGGATTTACTTCTGAGAAGTCACATAAAAAAGGGATGGGAAGCTGGATCTGGCCAGTAGGCTGGATCTTGTCCTTCCTCAACTCCCCATGGGCCAGTCATCTGATGTCACAATGACATCAGATGAAGCATTTTCATTTGCCTGCAAGCAGGGTTTGAAATCAAACAGTGTGGGCAATGAAAAACATCTTTGCACATCCCCCCCAAACCCTGCTTTTGGCAGGGAGCTGTGCCTTTTCCTACCCTACTCATGGGTGTCATATATGATGGATGTGTGACCTGGGGGAAATGGCTTTGTAGGCCGAATTATTCCACAGTGTATATGGTTTGTGCTGATAAACACTCAGAAATGGATACAATATAATTCCAATAAAATAAAAGCAATAGAAAAATCCAGGCATGGACAGAAGTACAGTACGCAGTAGCAGAACAAGGTGAGATAACTTCACTTTCCAGAGAGTATCTCAGATATTTCAACTTGCTCTGCTCAATGGAGAAATTCCTCATCTTGCCTGATAGCTCCAAGTGTGGATAGGTGGACCTTGAGTTGATGTATCTCCTTATCCAGCAAGGCAACCAGTTTGCACTTGCTGTAGGTGTAGTTTCTCACATTCTCAGGCAGGGAGACAAACATGGCACAGCTCCTGAGACAGCTCCATCACTGTCCGTGTCTCTTGCTTCTAGGTATACTGTGACACAGCTTGCTGGGCCTCCCCTCAAAACACCCTCACAAACGTCCCTGTTTACAAGTCCTGGTCACAAGCTCCCAGAAATTGCAATTTTTGTGTGTTTATACTTGCTTTGGAAACCAAGGAAACATGCTGGACAGTGAATCCCTGACCAGCCACCCTGAGCACTGCTAAAAAGCATGTTCTGCTTTTGCACAAGAGGCTCATTGCTTGTTTTAAAACTAGTTTCCGTAGGCATAAACTTGAGAACTGGCATGTATAGTTGTGTGAGAGAGGTTTTTTTTATTTCTTGAAAGGGAATCTTGAAATTCTCCGTCTGTCAAATTCTGTGACAGGTGCAGCACCCCACATTTCTGCAACAATCCTGTTCAGATGGTAATACCCAGAGGCTTGACTGTAAGTGACGGTGTGTGTCTTTGTTATGTTAAAAAAAAAATCCACACAATT